TCTGTCAGGGAGTTTTAAGCAGTACTCCTCCAATCTTTCTTGAGGTTGTATGATTGGCCTCCTATTCGCTTTCTGGTCCTTTAAAATGATGAGACGGTTGATGATATAAATCCTGCATTACCTTAAGGACCCTAAAGTATGGGAATTCTGGTATATTCCCTATCATGGGTAATGCAGGATTTGTATCATCAACCGGAGCACCAAAGCGACCCCGAAACTCTTCAATCCTATCGTCTGGGCATCTGCCGTGCTATTTCAGGTTTGGGGTCTCTTTATTATAATTATATGGTATACTGAGCCCCCAAACCCTATTCTAACTATGATTTTTAAGGCCCCCCCTCCCTCATATTTTGTTGTGTTTTTTTTGAGGGTGTGGGGTCTGAAGGGTACCCTTTAGGGGAGCCTTAGGGTCTGAAGAGTACCCAGTGGGTTCAGGGTTTCACGAGCCCCGGGCGGAACAATAAACCCCAAACTATAAGCCTAAAGCCTAAACCGACGACAGGGGACTGATCAGTCAGTCCGAGACGAAGCAGCACCTGGGCTTCGGGCCAACAACCTGGAGACCGTTACTAACATTCTTATTGTCATATCAATCGACCCGCACAGAGCGGTGTGTAGCGGACCAGCCTCTCTGTTATGTAAAGCAACAAGCCCTAACCCTAAAGCAAATGCTTAGTACCCGTTGGCCCGTAGCAAATCAAGAAGGCTTTGGACACGCGGAAAAGCCGCCGGTGTCCATCACCCAATACGCACTTCGGCTCGGTGGTTACGGTCCGTGGTCCGGGAATTCTGGCTCTTTGGTTCCGGAGTCAGTACAGTCTAGGCATGTCTAGCAAAGCTTGTCGGGTAGCAAAACGCACTTTGGTTTGATGACTAATCCCCTCCAGAAACTCACGATCACCAACATCCCTTCATGAGAGTATTCTTGACAAACGGACCCGGGCTAAGGACTTGAACATCGTAAGTACAGCAGCTTTAACCCTTGCAGTAGCCTTGTAATAAAGCTTCGAACTTATGGTAGCTGTACAGTAGCCCTCATAACTGGTAGTAACCTTATCGTAACTAGTAATCCGGACAGCTTACATCTTACAAGTCGTAGCACCTTGGATGACCAAAGTAGTCCAGGTCGCCCCGATATGATAGTAACCTTCATAGAACCCTTAAAGGACCTTGTTCAGGGAACCCAATTCTACGTATTCAGGTGGGCCCTATACTAGCCCAGGTCTGGGAGCAATGTGTCAAGGACTTTCTCCTGTCCGTGGTGGCCACGCCAGCCGTGGTCATGGGAAATTCGATCGGAGGCTGGAAAGCTTCAACTTTGCTAAAACCTGAGCCCCTAAACCCTAGACCCCTGAAGCTCTAAACTCCTCAACCCTAAACCCCTAGGGATCTAAGGACTCATATATTAAGGCTTTTGGGCCCAAAGACCATACTTTAGAAGGCTTTTGGGCTGTTTTGATCCCTAGGGTACTCCTAAACCTTAAATCCTCTCCGGGCTTCGTGTTGAGGAGTTCGAGCTCAGAGCGTGAAGCTTTCCTTTTTTCCGTAGTGATTCGTGGTTCCAGTGGTTGCCAGAAGAGTTTAGCCCTAGACCCTGGAGCCAATCCATCATCTCGCACCATGGACCATGGATGAGTTCATGTATATTTTTACGGTTATAGTTGTAGGTGTAAACTTAAAACACTTGGACAAGGATTTCGGGCTTTAAGGGTTTAGCGTTCCAAGTTGTTCCCTGTAACAAGGCCCCTGAACCCTTGAAGCCCAGCCAGATAGCGATATAGAAATACACTGAGCCCTTTTAAGAAGGTCAAAGGGTAAAAGGAGAGACCCCTAACTAGGACCCCTAGGTATATACCCATAATATAGCCACTATATTCACTATATACCCATTAAATAGCCCCAGCAAAGGGTAGGGGTCCCCATTAAGGGTCCCTCCTTTTCCCCTTTGAGAAGGAGAAGCTTCGGCCCCCGCCACACTCAATGCCTCTTGCCTGTTTGCGTCGGGGGTCGACATTGCTTTCCCGGAAACCAGCAGTGCCGACAAAGACCCATGGATTTTGGCTTTTTTGGTGTGAAACTTTCCGGTTAAGGGTTAGGGTGCACAGTTTGGGGTTTGATTTTGGGGTTTGGGTAAGTCGGTTTGGAGCCAAGTTGCCTGCGAGGATACATGGCCCAGTCTGCTGCAGCATTTCTGGGCGCCGAGCTCAGGCGACTCAACCCTAAGCCATAGGTCAAACCCAATTTCTAATGGCTACTATGGAAGATTCTGGAGAACCAAGATGAGTGGCCGAGGCAATTGGGTCGAAGTTTCGAGGTTTAGCACTGATGCCTGAACTTTTCAAAGTGCGGGAAGGCGGATACTTTGTAGGCTTGGTCAAACACTGACCCCGACTTCAGGTGAATGAGTAGCAAGTCATGCAGCATGCCCCGAATAGGGTACTATATAGGGGTCGGAATACATACTAGCACTATCCCTCGCAGATCCCCAATATCCGGACAGTAGAGCATACTCCAAAGCCCGGTTCTGTGCATCAAGGCCCGTAGATTACCGTGGGCTCAAAGTGGAGCCTACTATATCAGGCTGAGATAAGGGTGGTAGTGGATCCCCAAGCCTTGAAACTTGGGTGTTTTAGCACTTCGAAGTAGATAATGCTGAAGCCCAAATAATTACCACCATTATTCCCTAGGGCTCCTTTTTCTGTTTATAGTATGAAGGAGCCCCAATCCCTATTCCATATAGTTATACCTACGAAGGAGCCCAAAGCCTTATTAAAAGTATCCAGGCCCCTACATTGCCCGAAGAAAAGACCCAGAGGCTTTCGCAGCCACACAACCCTAAACCCTAAACCCTAAACCCTAAACCGTAAACCCTAACCCAAGGTCCTAGCGTATGTCGCGGTCTGATACTGCTCAACTCAGCGGGCCCCCTGCTGTCGATGGAGGACAAAGCACACTTTAAGGGTGCCTTTAAAGGGATCTATAGGGATCCTTTTTAGGATTTAGGGGTTTAGGGTTTAGGGGTTTAGGGTTTAGGGTTTAGGGTTTGGGGTTTAGGGTTTGGGACCTTATTATAATACGGCACCTATTATTATTTAGGGAACCCAAAAAGGGGCCATAGTTTTGACAACTACCCTTTAGGGCTCAGGTTTTGGGGCAGTAAAGCTAGGAGTTGGGATTGTGGGGACCCTAGGGGATATAGACCCTGTCAATAAGGTCCCTTGTTAAGAGAGCCCCAAGTAGGGTTAAGAAGGGTGCCCTTTAAGGAGTCTCCCTAATACTACCGAGGAAAAGCCCAGCGTCATGGTGCGACAAATAAAAGGTTTGATGAGGTACGCAGAACAAGAAGAAGAATAGCAGGCCGTAGCAGCAGTAGCAGCGGCAACAACGGCAACAACGAAATCATCAATCGTGATGGTCAGGCTTATACTGCTGGGAGCACCTATCCGAGAATCTTTTGCAACTGTGATGATCAGAACTCATGACGGAGCAACTTCGGTGCCTCCACTGTGTCTGGAGGTTCGGGGTTTTCAGGATGCTCAGTGTTTTGTGTGTAACCTTGAAGCCTCAATGCTGGAACAGGCCCTCACGGCTTTCCCTAGGGATCAAAATAGCCCAAAAGCCTCATCTAGTCTGGTCTTTGGGCCCAAAAGCCTTAATACATGAGTCCTGTCCTTAGATCCCTGGGCTTTGCAGGACTACCAGACACTGCTGCGCAGCAGTGGCGGCACAGTGCTGGAGCGCATGCGCGAAGGTGCTCGCGATGTGGGTCTGGTCCAAGCTGCCTTACGTTCTTCGATGTATGAGATGTATTATGTATATACATATGTATATATATATATACATATGTATATATGCATGCGTACATATATATATATATATATATATATATATGTGTCTGTGTTTGTGTGTCTGTGTGTGTGTGTCTGTGTGTGTGTTTGTGTGTGTGTGTGTGTGTGTCTGTGTGTGTGTGTGTGTGTCTGTGTGTGTGTGTGTGTCTGTGTGTCTGTGTGTCTGTGTGTCTGTCTGTCTGTCTGTCTGTCTGTCTGTCTGTCTGTCTGTGTCTGTGTGTCTGTGTGTCTGTGTGTCTGTGTGTCTGTGTGTCTGTGTGTCTGTGTGTCTGTGTGTCTGTCTGTGTCTGTGTCTGTGTCTGTGTCTGTGTCTGTGTCTGTGTCTGTGTGTGTGTGTTTGTGTGTGTGTTTGTGTGTTTGTGTGTGTGTGTGTGTTTATATACAGATGTAGAGATACTCGGTTATACTGTATGTCATTTCGTTTCTGTTTTACGTTCTATTGCAGGAGTTTTGAACACCAAACCCTCAACAGGAAGACTTTCGATGTAAAGCAGCCTTTTGTTGTGTTGGTCGTGCAGACTGCCTCGGAGAGTCACTGATTGCTTAGAAGGTCATGGGACTTAGTGAGTAAGGTTATAAATAGCTGAACTGGAGCTGCAAGCACTTATAGCTATAGTTAACTGTAGATAGCTACTGTATTTGTAGCCTCAGTTACTAAGTCCCATGACCCTCCAAGTAGCTCTCATGAGACTAACACCAGGTTCCTCACACCATGATGGATACCTATACAGATGTCGGCTTGGGCATACAGCCACATCCACACCTTTGGTCTGGCAAAGCTTTACATAGAGAGAGTGGATCATAGAAACTAACTAAACCATGAACCGGCATCTATTCATGGGGTTTTGGTTTCGGGTTTTGGCTACGGGCCATAGTTTCCTGAGTGCAAGCCAACTCCGTGCACCATGGCATCTGCAAATCTAGATGCTCGGCACTTCTGGACGTCTGTAACAGAGAAGTCCGTGCGCCAAGTGCACAAAAACTGTGCAGAATGGAATGCTATAGCGGCGTACTTTACGAAGCACATGCCGGATGACAGCATCTTGCTGGCCGCAAAGCGAGTGGAGAACCCCAAGTTGTGGAACCTGTACGAGGCACATCTAGATGCTGTCGGTGAAGGTTTTCCGGGTCAGCTAGAGATGTGGTTATGGCATGGGGCAGACGACAGTCTTCAGATTGCCCACGATGGCTTCAAGACAGCTTACTCCAACCGGACTTTTTAACATGTACGGTGTGGGCCATTACTTCGCAGTGGATCCTCGCATGGCCAACCACTTTGTACGCAGTTGCCGGGATGTACCCGAAAGGTCCCGGACAATTCTGTTGTGCCGTGTTGCGGCTGGTGCTTGCAAGACGAGGGAGCCCATAACGATGCATGTGGATCACTGCCGGACGCAGCACATGGGGTGCAAGTTCTGGGCCTGCCGCGAGTTGCGGGCCAAGCAACTAAGACAGCCCGAGAACCAGCAAGCTCCAGCAGGTTCACATTCATGCACGTCGAAGAACAGGGTTGAGGTGATCGTCTTTGAGAATCATCACGCATATCCGGCTTACCTTCTGGAATACACCTGCCCGTCTCTTGCCGATTTTGATCCCTACAGGAACCTGAAGCAGCTGGCCAGTTTTGACCCACGTGCAGACCGCTCAAACTGGAGCGTTCAATTCAAAGCCAGGCGGGCCTTGATTCTCGGAGGTATCTTAGGGGTACTTAGAAATAATTTTTAAGTTTTGGTTATTATAATCCTTAAGAAACAGCTAAAATTACAATTTTTGCTAGGGTTCCAAGTTCAGTATAGCTCGGAGGTATTGGATTTTGCGGTGACATGGCCTATGCAGAGACACTCGCAGAATATGCAAAGAGCGCTTTGCCAGAGATGGTGTGGGAGCAGCAGCGCTGCAGTCCACCAGAAGTCTGCGGCATGCTTTCAAAGTTTGATGTTGTGCTGGTTTGCGATATGTACATCGACTTGCCACGGAAGTTATGGAGTCCAAAGTTGGACCATGCTCTGAAAGAGTTTGTGCTAAAAGGAGGATTTGTGGCCTTTATGGGCGGTGAGCCGTTGGCGAAAGAGCGAATCTGGAAGGCGAAACGAACAACCTATATGATAGTTAGTCCTGTGCCACCTATGCCGTCATCGAGAACCCTATCCCCCAAAACAAGTTTCTGTTTTGCAAAGTTGTTGTAGGGATCCCGTTTGCATTCGAGGATGTTTTTGGACTCTCATGGACATTCGCTGGCGAGACAGGCTGCGACTGCGTCAAGTCATTCATGTGTGATCTGCCTTGCATGGCAGATGCTCCGGAAAAGTTGGAGGAGATGAAGCTGATGCCTTTGCGCAACGTTCCCCAAACAGAGCGCATTTACCCGTTGGAGATATTCCCAGATTCAGATCTAGATGATCCCGAAACACCTGCGGAGTCACTTCTATGTGGTGTAGCACTGGCAGAGCATGGACTCGGTTCCATCGCGAACATGGGTGAGATGCGGTATCTAGACCCAGAGTTTTGCCCGGAGGGCTCCGAGTTCTCCTGGTGGGATGCCTTGCTGTGCCTAGTGAAGGGGCACGCACACCTAAGCCAACCCTTCCGCAAGCACTCGAGGTGGCTTTTTCGCAGGGCTATGAAGGCATTGAGGATGACGACATGCCTTCGATGCTGTTCTTACAGCCAACGCTGAGAAGCTGGAAGGCATGCTGAGGCACATCAATGCCAACATGGCAGATGACAGGGGCTTTTCACTCCTCATGATGGCTGCACAGACATCGGAAGTACATATCATTCAGCTGCTTTTGAATGCTAAAGCAGACATCGGCCAGACAGATGCTGACAATGGTTGGACTGCCCTGCATTACCTGGCTGAGTCACCCAGGGCCAGCAAAGAAGCCTGGGATTTCTTAGTCGCAGCAGGGTCGGATCCGCAGTTGCCCAGCCGTTTCGGAGACAGTCCGCTGGACCTTGCTCGTGACAACTTCTAGCTGGTAACGAGGCGGCGGGGACGACCAGCCGGCTACTTGTTCCAAGACGACTAAAAGCTGTGGATTGGGGGCCGAAGTTCGCATGTCATGTGGCCCTTGACAGGACGAGTTCCCGTGTGAAATATATGTGAAGAGGCACGTGACGAAATCAGAAAAGTTGAGGAATCATCCTGCGTCCTTCCGGCCTACCAGAGTTTCAGGCGTAGGGCATTGAGGCATTGAGGGTTTGTTTGGTTTTAAGTTGTAAGTTTCCAGGGCTCAGGGCACAGGATTTCGGAACTAGTGCTTGGAGTTTGGTGTCCTACCCAGACCCAGACCCTCACCTGCAGTCCCTCTTCGTTGCTTGCCTCATTTTGTTCTCGGGCCATGACCATCGCGAAGGTGATCCGCAACAAATTATTTCAAGTCAGCCTCTAGGTAGGGCAGGACTTCTCACATACATTTCGCAATTGCTTTTACGCCAGCTTTACCCAGCGGTAAAGGTTGCCACTGGCTTAGCAGAATTTTGAATGAGGTTACCGTATGGGTTATCAGTACCAGAAATGGTGGGGCTTCCTAATTACAACGCTATCCATGTGGCCTGCTTACTTTAAATCCCGTGAGCCTCCATGAGAAACTTTGGAGCTTTTACCAGAGCCCTGAAAGAGATCTTCGTAGCTTTATGTAACGCCGCTATAGAACCCCTGAACCCTAAAGCCAAACCCTAGACCCTTCATAGCACCCGTTTGCAGGCTATGGCAGCGATGCAAACCTTCCCGAGTACGCGCCGCCTCCACAGCAGCTGGCCTACGGAAGCTTGCAGAGAGAGGTTAGGGTTTAGGGTGTAGGGTCTACTCTAGGCCGTGGGGTTTAGGGAACTGCGGGGTTACTAATCTATAAATGCCGACCAAACTAATCGCACCACACTGTGAGTCTTATACATGCACGTGCCTTTTTATACATTGCAGACATACGCATGTTTCACGGTTGAGTCAAGGTTTTGGGGTTTGCTGTCTCGGGCGGACATTTTGCAAAGCTGTTGAGCGCAGCCCAGCATGACACACAAGGTTCCTGTGTCCAACCGTTATCCGTGGACCTCCGGCTCTTCATGAATCAAGACTCCGACTTGCCAGGGCTTGATTGATCGGGCACCTACTGTTATCCTATTGCGGGAGTGCGGTGTTTGAATCAGCTTCTTCTGAAAGTTTGACCTGTTTCCTTTGAGTCTTGGGGATTACGTACAGTCCCCATGTTAATTCCTTTTCCTAGTTTAACCAGTTTTAGATGTAGGATCCTTTCAGGTAACCCAGGAAAGAACTGCACAAGGAGACTTTCCGCGACTCCAGGCATTCCCACGTGACCTAAACCCAAATTCCTAAACCCTAAACCCTAAACCCCAAAACCTAAACCCAAATTCCTTGACTTCCTTTGTGAAACACCGCAGCATAGCACTCGAGCCATGACCTCCAACCTTTCTGAGCTTAGGTTTTAGGTTCTAGGGTTTAGGGAATTTGGCTCGGGTTTGGGGTTTTAGGTTTAGGTTTGCTTTGGGCTTGAGGTTTAGGGGCTGAGGTGCAGGCTTTTGAGTTCTGTGCAGCGGGCATGGGGGTGAGTTTAGGGTTCAAGCTCAACAGTGTGCTATGGGGGCCGAAATAAGTACCGACACTATTTGGGGGGTTGCTTATTGTACTTATACTTTAATGTGCGCCAAAAACCCTATTCTAATTATTAAGGCGCCTATATTAGGCTTAGGTTGCAAGATTTAGACTGGAGCTTTTTAAAGCTCCTGAAGACTCAGCCCTCGTCCTCATTGTCAAGTTTTACAAAACACTTCGAAACCCGGAAAAGGCAAAATCTACCCCTAAGCCCAACCCCGAACACCGCAACAAATAGCTAACAACTCTTAAACAACCCAAAGCCTTAAACTCCAGATCCTAGAACCCGATATAGCCCCAAACCGTAACTCCAAAAACCTCCGAAAAATCCTTTAAACCCTTGCACACCCTGAACCGAAAAAGACCCAGAAAAAAAAGGTGGCTGGTCGACTTCGGAGCATGGATACTCCTCCGCGGATTGCAGCTTTGAGGGAGAAGATCCGGTGAAGAGAATAAGAGCTTACAGGGTGCTCTATTCGGGGTTCTATCGAATCAATGTTTAGCTAGGATGCCCAGTAGTACCCTTATTCCCTTTTTGTAGTCCTAGGTTCCACAAAAAGAGAGGCCTTTCTATTCTTAGGTTATTGGGTATCCTAGTTAGGGTTCAGGGGACAGGAGTCTATCGGATGTTATAGGGTCTGACCGGCTTTCTGGATAGGTGCTTTATTCGGGGTTCTATCGAATCAACGTTTCGGGTTCATGCAATAGGTTTTGTATCGTATGTTGTAGGGCTTGAACAGCTTTCTGGATGTTAAACAAAGCTGTTTGAGGGCTTCGAGAAGGATGTTGTGCTGTATACTTCGTACTTTGGTCTTGAAGAGATGTTTAGGGGTTTGAAGCCAGGTCTCCCCGCTACCCATCTGCCTTGGGGTCTCCGAGAGCAAACTGAATTCCCTGAATCCTACACCCTAACCCTGGTAGTGGGAGAAAAGGGTGCCGTTATCATGAAGGGGCATATGATCCTACCCAGAGATCCCAATACCCTTTAATTAAGGAATATACCTTAAATCTTAATATTAGGGCCTCTATGATTTAAGGTATATTCCTTAATTAAGGGGTATTGGGTTCTCTAGGTACGGAGACGGAAACTCCTACAGCCCCAGCAGGGTATCCCTGAAACCCCAAGCCCTGGGCCCTACGTCCCACACCACGAGCCTTCGACTCGATACTCTTCACAACCTCTGCTTGGAGGCCCAGGGGACTTAGTAAGTGGTTAGGCTCCTTAAAGAGTTCCTTAAAAGGAGATCTATAAGGGTTCTGTAAGGGGGCTTTAGGGTTTCTTGGAGGCCCAGGGGACTTAGCAAGGAGGTTATATGTGGGGATATAAATTATAGGGTAACTCCATTTAGGGTACTTATAACCCTACTTATAACCTACTTACTAAGTCCCCTGGGCCTCTAAGTAGCGAGTCTAGCTCTGACAACCCGAGGCCGAGACCTCCAAGCCCTTGTGGCAGCCCGTTTCGCAACCCTTAGACGAAACCTTGAAGGAACCCATAAATGAAGCCTTACACTACCTAAACTTATAATTTTGCCATAGATGAAGCCCTTATTATAGTGGAAGAAGCTTAAAGCCCTTCAGCGCCCGCCTCCCGAAGAAATCTGGCGAGTCAAGGCAACCGAACATCGCTGGCATCCTAAAGAAGCTCGGCGTGGGCTTAAGATGCAGGGCTTTGGGGGTTTTATTGGGTTTCGAATTTGTGGATTGGGGCTCGAAGCCCAGATTCTCAGCCAAAACCCTTCAACCCTGCTACAGCTGTCGATTGAATAAGTAGATCCTCGGCATCGAGTGTAGACCGTACATAGTTATTGGATAGCCTACCTCCACCCACTTAACACGACGAGCTTCAACCCACCACCTTAACCTCCTAGACGTAAGGCTTTCAACCCGAGGGCCTAAATCTTAAACCCCAAGCCTGCAAGCAAGAGACCTTCGTGACCTGAGTCTGAGCCCTGAACTCCTCAACCTAAACCCCTAACCATCTTAAACCCCAAGCCAGGACTTAAAAGGACAAGCAGAAGAAGCCGCGCCACGTCCAAAAGCAAAAGGGTAAGAAACAAGGAGCCTCTATAAACTTGTTTAACCCCTTAAACCCTCAGATCTCTTATACTAATCCACAACACCATGATCTTCTACCCCTAGACCCTACTCCCTGATCCAAAATCCCAACAACCCTAAACCCTTAACCCAAAGGTTTGACGCAATTGGGTTCTTGTTAGGGCATTGACTGGAAGTTTGGCGTTATAGGGATCCGCTGTAAATGGCTGGGTTTGCTTAATTACTCAAGTTAGACTGAGTTTCTGAACACTAGCACTAAACCCGAAACCCTATCTATCTATCTATCTACCTACCTACCTATCTACCTATGTATATGTAAACATATATAACCCTAGAAGATCCCACACAAGGAGCCTCTACCCCAGCAACACAGAGCCCACGGCGGAGTTGGCGACTGAGATCTTCCGGGACTCTCAGGCCTGCAGTAAACCCCGTAAAGTTGGAAAGCGGACTAAGGCCAAATGCTCATAGGGATTGAGGCTGTGGGGTTTCCAGCTTTTGGGCTTGTACAGTGTGGTTCTGGGCTGAGGGCCTTTGTGGGTTTTAGGGGTTTTAGGGTTCAGGGATTAGGGTTACCAAGGGTTTAGGGTTGAGGGATTAGGATTTAGGGTTTAGGGTTTTGGGTTCAGGGTTTTAGGGGTTTTAGGGTTCAGGCATTAGGGTTACGAAGGGTTTAGGGTTGAGGGATTCGGATTTAGGGTTCAGGGTTTGGGGTTTAGGGCTTTAGGGGGTTTAGGTTTTTAGGGGTTTTAGGGTTCAGGGATTGGGGTTTAGGGATTAGGGTGTAGGGTTTAAGGGCTTAGGGTATATGGGGGCTCAGGGTTTTGGGGTTCAAAAGGATCTGCAAGGGCCTTTTGGGCTCCTTCACAAGGACTCCCATAGAGGATCTCTATGGTTTCTAACGTTCAGGGACTAGGGTTTAGTGTGCTAAAATTTGGGGGTTTAGGGTTCAGGGGTCGTTTAAACGGGTCTATAGGAGCTTGGCTTAATAAGGATGTTATTTTTTGTTG